TTATCCACTTTGTTGGATAATGTTTCTAGACGAAGTTTAAAAGATTTTTGAATAAACTTTGAAAGATAATAAGTTGTTGCTTGACTATCTGAATTAAATAATTCATGTGTATATTCTGTAAGGTCCGAATTCTTGTTGAAATTTGTGCAATTAACCTTTTCTAAAAATTCTTTTCGTTCATTTTCATATAATGGGCAKTGATATAACAYGTGCATTTCCGATTCAACAGCTTGTTTATCACAACACTGGCAATATCGAAGATGCGCAGCGGTTTTTTCGGTGTAGTACCTTCCAGTTTATTATTCTATTGATTATTCTATTGATAATTTATGATTACTTATTCGGAATTTAGTCAGAATTCTTCTTTGATCAAAGTTTTGAATTTGATTAAAATAATTTTCCGATTCATAATTAGTTTTTATTAATAAACCTTTCAAAAAATAAAGCTTTTTGGACGATGATCAGAAATTATGGAATATCATATCCCCTCAATACTTTTTTCAGATACTTAGTAACATTGCTAGGCAATGTCGAAAGAAATAACAGCAATGATATCCCATAATTTCTTGTTATATATACTTGAAGAATGTCTCAAAACAATCATAATTTCTGCATATTGCTTTTTAGTTCTGCTTGGATAGAAAACATCCACATCAGTCTCTCCATAAGCCATAACATCAGATATGGATAAAATGAAGGTACATGTACGGCAATAATAAATTGGATAGAGTTCAATTCTGACCTTAAAAGCACCATAATAGACAACATCAAATCTAACTACAGTRGTGAACAATCTGACATCAGCTTCTGTCATCTTGTCGCCTGCAAGATAACGATGTTGAGACAGCATCGCTTCAGCCTATGACAAAAGGATAATAAACAATAAAAACCATTCTAAGTTATTTGATTATAAATACAACTATAACATGTTTAATCATTTTATAATATTTTTTGACCTTGTAGCTCAGGGCTGGTAGAGCATTGTTGTACAATCCAAGGGTCGTGGGTTTGAATCCAGCGAGGTTGGAAATTAATTTTTCTGAATTTATTTTTCAAGAGTCTTTTGCCCAGAATAAACTCCTTCTCAGCACTATAAATTTCCTTTATTTCTCTATCATGTTTGTCATAGTGCCATTCGGTCCTCATATTCATATCTTAATATTTAACATACCTTGTCTAAATGATCAAATAAAATCTTGACATTTTTATCATAGCTTTCTTGGTTTCCTGCCCGGCCAACTTTGTATACTCCAAGGTTTATATTACTGTATAAGATTATAAGAGAAACGTTAAACAAATTAAATTTAGGGAGAGCTCTACCGTCCTTGGCAACAAAAGCAGCATGATGACAGACTAAGGATTGCATAGTGCATTGCATAATATGTAGGCTAACAAACTGGACTGTGAATTTTAGAATTGCCAATTAGTTTAGAGACAACTGCCTCATTTGGAGGGGGTATGTGGGAATGCGGGTGTAGTCCCAAACTCTTTATTACCACATTACCTAAAATAAGCTTTGTCAAACTCTCCAAAATTCTGGTGTATACAGATGCACACAGTTTGTATGTTACAGCAGTTTAATACCTCAGTTGGCCGCTGCMGTTTAATAAAATATCATTTTCTGAACTGAGCCCTCCGTCTCCCCAAGCTTAGGGGTGATCCTTTAGAATTTTGAGGGTGGATTTTGGAAAAAATATGCTGCACGGCCAGAAGGGCCAAAAAAATTCCTTCAAGGCAAAATTTTAAAAATCTGCACTAAGCTTTTTACAGATAGTCCTAAAAAAATTCTTGCAAGGACAAAATCTTAAATTCTAATGGCTCGCCCCGTACTCTAATCATAAAAAATTGCGTGACTTACGGTGCTACCCAGCTGTTAATTTCTTCAATTCGATCTTTCATGTCATCAGGCAAAAGATCCAAGTTTCTTTGTTCTTCCGTAGGACAAAACGCATTGAACTCCTTGTTGAACATCCTCATGATGTCAATGGATTCGTTATTGACAGCAGTTTTCTTCTTTTTGTCCCACAGCAAAGGCACGGAGAAGGCACCAGAGAAATTCGGATCTCCTTTGTAGTAAAGCTCTTTTATGTTTGAGCAMCCGTTCACTGTATCTTCGTCGCAGCCAGGTTTCTCAGGACTGAATTTCCAAGTCTCCCCTTTAGGTTTAATAGAATCGAGTACACTAATTGAAACAACATCATCAAGGCCTTTTAGTTTCCTCACTGCCAAAGCTCGACCTGCAAACGGGCAAACCATCGCCACGTAGAGATGATAGCGACCTTTTTCAGGCAGGAAGTCGCTGCTACCGTCAGCTTTGACCCAGTTGAAGAAACCCTTTGACATTTTTATCGCACACTTGTAGAGTTTGTTGATGTACAAAAGTTCAAATATGCTTCGTCACGTACGATGGAGCCGTGCACAGCATCCAACCAACTTGTKGGGTGCCGGAAGGAGGAGCCTCTCTGAATAAGCAAAAAAGCACAGGGAGACCGGAAAAATGTCGGTCTCTTTCAAGTAACATAAAATCTTATTCCTTTGATAATTAAAAAAAAAACAAACAAACAAACAGACAATACACATACAAACAAACAAACAAACAAACAAACAAAATCAAAACAAAAAAACTACACAGTTGCTTTAAAATCCCGCTTTATTGTCCTTCATTTTAGCTTACATCACTGACACAACTGTTTGTAGTTTAAGTTTTAGTAAAAGTTATAGATCATAGTTGTACGTTATGCATGATGGCTGACATTAGTCAGGTTAGCTGGGATACACCGTTTTGGTCTACGGGTACAGGTACGCGACCATGTAAAGTTCGCAGTCTATACAAAACACGTCCATGTCTTCCCAAATGTAATAAKGGACTGCGCAATATTTATCAGGAAGGGTTAAGTAATGAGCCAAAAAATCAAAAAAGTTAAATTACTATTCCCCCTCGCAAACGAAATAATTTGAGCTCTGGAGTTCTCGAATCGGACACCGTTGATTTTTCAGTTTTTAGACGTT